AATATAGTATATGTATAATTGTACAGTATACACGAACTCAGTTGTCTCACGTCACGGCGCGTTGGTGGCGCGTTGGGCGCACTTCCGGTCTGGGGCTGTGGGTGGAAGTTACTTACTCGGAACACGCATTCCTGTGCTGCTTTAGAAGAACTCAGACAAAAACCTTCCTTCGCTTCAAAATGAAGCGGCTGGGGCTGTACCAAAACAGTCGGGAATGGTTTGATGGTTCGTAGGCGTGTGTTTTCTGCCTGGTCGGTTCTTCCGAGAACGTGAATAGGGGCTGTGAAAAAGGAAAACCAGACGCCATCGGACCACGATTGCTTGTAGGGAAAGCACTTTGGGTTGAATTCACAGATACGTGTAGTCGTCAGATTTATTTGTTTTGTTTCAATATTAAAGCGGGAAAACCGTCAAGTTGTACGGACCACCTGCGGACTACGTTCAAGGCGTCTCCAAGTTCAAATGAACGCCTGATCGTTCAAACTGCCGCCTGTTCTTTCAAACGTTTCTGCTGGTTGTTGTCCGCCTGTTCAAAAGAAAACAGCGGCCCGTAGACAAAGAGTTGACCCGGTAATTATTGCCATAAGAAGTAAGTGCAGGCCTCAAAAGACTTTTCAATTTACAGGTTTGTTGACGTAGGCTCGGTGTTAACAGTCGAGACAACGAGATGTTGATAATTGTTACGAGTGGCCATCACAGACTTGTTATGCCTGATTCACTTGGCCAAATTCTTCTTGTCATTTTCAGTATTGACGTGAACCATCTCAGCTATATTTTACGCTTTTGCAGCCCGATCGGCGTCATGACTGAAAATAGCGAGCCGAATTTCATCACGCGATTCATGCTTTAGCATCCATACGGCGGCGTCCACTTGGAATGAATCGCCGCATGTCACATTATATTCACGCGATGTTTTGCGGTGTAACGAGCATAGTTCATTTTGCTGAGGCCACTAAGGTGGTCAGATATTGCTATAGGAAGACGTGGAACTAACAATTCCAACACGAAAAAGAGCACCGGGACTTTCCGACGCCGACAACATCACCTTCGAATGGTTTGTTTATGGGCGACGGCGAGCTCCTTGCTAACACTCCAATGCGCATGCGTGGCGCCGGTGGCGCCCGCTGGGGCCCTCCGGTTTGTTTGTAAACATGAGTTGGTCTATAAGCAGGACTCGGCCTTAAAATTTTAAAGTGTTTTCTGTATCTCAAGCTTTTTTTTAAAATTTAGATACTCATTTCGGTTTATTTTTTGAGTATTGCCTTGTTTATATTGTCTTGTTTTATTTTGTTGCCCTTAAAAGGACCCTGCAATAAAAAAAAAAAAAAGCTTTTTGCAGAGCATAAAAGAGAGAGTTTTTTTCGTAATTTTTCCATGAGAAGAAAAAGAAATCGCGCAATATTTACACTGTTGGACGCAATTTAGGTGGAGGCCACGGTGCGCTCAAAGCATCGCCCACAAGTCAGTTGCTTCGCCCATTACTACTGCACTGGCTTGGTTGCTCGACCTTTCGCGTCATCCGGTGTTTTTACTCCGGAAGTCTAAAGGCCCGTTCACACTCTTGCAACCAAGTACGACAGAGAGAGACCGAGACTTGTTAAAACCTCTTAAAATTACTTAGGACGACAGAACACACTGGCACGCTGGCGCCACTATGTGGTGACCCTGGAACTGCATTTCACAAGAGCGAAGGTTTTGCGATATTTTTGAGGTCAAATGTGCGTAATACCTATAAGAAAGGCTCGTTTATAACGTTGACAAAAGTTCTTCAAGCCAAGAAAGAAAGCATAATGCGCGAGACAAATAGAAAATATGCCGGACCGCCAAGTTTTCACTGCTACCCGATAAATGGCGCCAGTGTGTCCTCTCGTTGTAAGAGGTTTCAAGGAACCCAGTTTTAAAAGACGCAAGAGTGTGAACCGGCCTTTACACCACCTGCTAGTCGTGCGAGCCGAGGAGCGGCAGCCTCCGGCATCGTCTGCAACTTCACCCCCGTCTATTGTCGTCGGCAATGCCGTGAGACGTGAACTCGAAAGCTACGTGTCGGCGTCCGTTCTCACCTTCGGCAGTATGCTATGCGGAGCGCTAGTTCGTCTGCTTCATTTGCAAGAATTGTGGGGACGTCAGAACGCCGATCTCTGATTGGCTTCGATTGGAGGACAGTGGGTAGACCTCAAAGCAGGCTACCTTGAGATCTACCCACTATTCTTCAATCAGAACCAATCAAAGCTCGGCGTCGTTATGACGTCACCACACCCCTGCAAAAGAAGCAGCCGCATTGGCGCTCAGCATACATCCGCCGTCTAAAAACTTCTGCAACGCTCAGAAAACGCGACCATGAAAGCGACGTTCTAGCGTTCCATCAGGCATGAGTCACAGTTTAATACAAGCGTCTGTCAGCACCTGTCTGTGTGTCGTAAAAAGCGATCGAGAGGGCTAAAATAGCAACAAAATAAAAATTCCGTCATTTCAGCTGCTATGTTTTTGTTACTTCTTCAGCATGGCATCCACAAGCAAGGTGAAAGAGCGTCATGTTGCACAATAAGTACGTGACCTAAAATTATTCGCTAAAGATGCAGGTGCACTGAAAAACTGGAGAGATACTTAAATTTCGAAGCAAAATGACCGGACCATACCTGGACTAACTTGATGCCAGCCGAACGCCCGATTGCCTCCAGCCAATTGGCTGGAAAATTCTTCCCTGTGTAGGTATCTTCTCGTTATTGAAACCATTGCCGCAAACACGACGGTTCCACAATCCACAAAGTAGCAGGGCCGCTTTTCCGGGAACTAACATTTTTATTCAGCATCCACATGCACCGAGAAAGAAATCAAACCATTGCAGATCGATCCAAATAATTCACGTGGGACGCTATAGGCTTAGGCCAGTTCCACTACGAAAACAAGCATCCGTACAGCGCTTCTGAAGAATCGTACTTGCGACAGTTGTTTTCTGCATACTATGTCAGTCGGTGAGATCTTCCTCTAAACACATCTGTAAACTCAAAACAACCCGCACTCGTAAATATTGACGAGCTCAACAAGCAACGCTCGTCCCGCCCTCCGCAGACGCCATCAGCCATGTTCGTTATCGTGTGAAACCGAAGCGGTTTCCCACGATCAGCTGAGCAGTTACAACGTTGAAAAAAGAGAAAGACGTTGACAATCCCCTGTAACACCGAATTAGAGCCCAGCTCTTGAGGAGAAAAAGGGGAAGGTACGGAGAGGAGGCTCTGCCTTTCCTCCTCATTTATACTCTTCCCTCCTCCTCTCCTGTTCGCATCCCTTTTAGGGGAAAACTTCCCCGCTATATTTAGCGGTGAACTTTTTCTGCTAAATTTAGTAGGGAAATTTATCTATATAGCAACGCGCGGTGACGTCACGAGTGACGTCACTGGTGCTCCTCGTGAGGTCACACGTGACGTCGCCTGTAACGTCATCATGGGAAATGCCCCATAATGCACCGCACAGTTGCGCCGACGGCGACGGCGACGCCGCTCAAGATGGAAACGGGCGCCTTAAGAGCTGTGCTCTAAAACCGAGAGTGGAGAGGGCGCAGAACGAATCAAAGAGCAAATCACGAAAAAAAATGCACAATTAATCACAGGACGCAGTATACCCAGTTTCAAACGGGCGCTGTGTACCAGATACCACTTTCCTGTGGCAAGTGCTACATAGCGCATAGGCTATGTTGCACGTTTTGGCCTCCCAGGAGACTAGGGAGAAGGAAGTGACGTAGGTGTGAATGAACGTGTCTTAGCAACTTCTGCAGATACCGTCATCAGCGACTCCACCAATCAACATCAAAATAGCGTTGTTGACGTCACTTCCCTCTCCCTAGTCTTCTGGGAGTCCAAAACGTGCAACGTAGCCCCCCTGGGCGGTCTGTTAGCAACAATAGCACTAGGGAGCACGCGACTTTTGTTAAAGGTACATCGGCCGGACATCTCTCTGCACACTGCCGGTCCTGCAATTCCACTCCTAATTTTAACAACATACCAATTATAGGGCGACAGAGGAACATATATGCACGCGAATTAATTGATGCCTTGGCCATTGAACAAAGTGATCAAATGTGCGTGAGCCCCCCGTCGACCACGATCTACACGAAGGAGAGACGATACTTGAGGTGTGGCAGGAGCCGCCAAATATTAACATTGTAACGGGTGCGGATATGGGAGTTGGTTTTTTCTATCACTAGCTGTAGTAAAAAAAAAGAAAAGAAAAAAAGGTCTATATAAGAGGAAGATGAAGTATTAAAGAAATCAAGTTGATAATCAGAGGTGTGTATGTCTTTTCCTCTCCCTTTTTTCTACGTTGTAACCGTTCAACTTGCCCTCTTCAATATGTACCAACTAGCTGAAGTCAAACCTGTAGTTCACCCGCAGAACCAGTCGTAATCGATGAGCTCCACGGGTAAAAGAAAAAAAAGTTTCCACCGACTTTCACTAAGCCTGACGCGAGCTCAGTGTTTATAATCCAAACTTAAGCTGGCAACTGGAGAGTTGGAATCCCAATCTTTGCCAACCAGAAAGATAATGCGAGAAAATACCTAGGTTTCCGTCGGCATGTCGCCAAAATCTGCGCTACGGTTCTGCGAAAGGAGTCAAAAACCAAAAAAAAAAAAAAAAGGTGCCGAAGGTTGAATATGACAATAAATAATGTCATAGCCTCCTCTATACTGACAAAGCCTGGCAGATCACCACGAGAAGCGGCCGCCGAAAGTGAAAAAGTAGAGCGGCAGAGAACGAATGAGAGGAGGTGCATGTAACAGTCGCCCCGCTGCGGCGAGATGACGAAACGCACTTCTCCCGAGCGATGGAATGTGTCCGCTCGTGCTCCTCGCGTTCCTCGCGCTACCACTTCTTTTCTCGTCGGGTTTGAAAACCATGTTTTGGATACTCGCCATTGCAAAAGCTGTGCGCTGATTACAGGACCCCCGAGAACTCTGTGCTACCAGATCCTCGTGCTCCAAATCTGCGACCGGGCACTCTGTGGCTCCGTCGTCGAACTGCCAGGCTTTCTGAGTATAGAGGAGGCTATGATAATGTGAAAGGGTTCCGGACAACGAGGCGAGTGAGGCTTGATGTTCGCGTGCGCTGGTGAGGTGGGAGCTACCACCGACGCCTGTCTCTGCGAAGCCACTTGTCACTGTGGGTGCGGACTTCCAGCCGTCTGTCGCGCCGCCGCCATGATTCATCGGCGTCGGCCTTGCCACAACGTCACTCTCTCCGACTAAGCCGGCCTCGAGGCGAGCGCTCCCAAACTGGGCCACGACCGCCGACGCCAATGGATTGCGTGCTCTCGCGAAGCACGCCTGCGGAGAAAAACAGTCGAGTCGTTCGCCCACGCCGCGATCGACCGGATGAAGACGGGCTGAACCCTCTTGGGATCATCCGGAATGTGGACGGTTCGCTCGATCGACAGTGAACTGGAAACTTGGAAAACGTAAGCTGTAACATATGGGCGTCGCGGATAACGAGGGCTGAACGTGATCTAAGACGGGCTATGAATTAGATAGCGCAACACGACAAGTAAAAGTAGAAAAGGAAGACAGGACAGAGCGCTACTACCAACTGTCGTTTAACGCTACAGGAAGAGAACGATCAAATGACTATGTTCTACAACATGTTCTTACCAACAGGACGTACCAGATGCCTAAGACGGGTGTCACCCTCAGCGAGGACTCCAGTCCAACCCGAACGCAGCACTCCTGTTCAATCCCTGTCTGCTGAAGACCGCCATCTAGGGCCCAGTATTCACATTTCCACGCTCCTTGATTAGCAGACTCTGGCTAAACATTTTATTCAAACGCAGACGCGACGAAGAGAAACAGCCAATGGTACAATGCTGCTTTTTCAAACAGCATTGAAATTATCGGCTTCTGCGCGTCATTAGGACTGCCGAAGGCGCCGTGAGCATGTGCAACAAGCTTTTTCTGATGATGACCAGGCTCCGCGCATGCGTCCAGATTCCAGTGACTTGACACTTTTTGCCTGGGTCAATAGCGCTGCAAAGGTAACGACAATATGCATAGAAACATGCTTGATACGACATGCACAGGAGTAATCTGCTTCAGATGAGAAAATATTTTCACTTCCACCGGAAACAAGGTTCCGACTACGTCAGTCAATCATGTTTATGAGTAAAGCGAGTCCTACGCTTATAGGTAAAGGACATTGTTCCACCGATAATGACATTTGAGTTCTTGCGCCGTTGTTTGTCAATGCCAGCCTGTTTTTCGGATAAGACCGGCGTGGCACTCACTTCCTTTCATATCGCTACTGCTCGGCAATTTCTTTTCCATATAATGTCTTCCGTACTTCAAAACCCAGATGATTCGCGTGAACGAACCTCATTTGTTTGTCTAAGAATATAATCTACAGGATGACGCCATAAGGACCAGCACATTTGGCACGCCTTGGAGAATTAGAAATCCAAACGTTCATACCTAAATCCGGGCGCGCGAACGTCGTTTTTTAAGACGTTTTATGTCTAATGATTTCAGATGTGCTCAACTTAGAAATGGCGAAATATTACAAATAAATCGAAAACGGCGGCCGCGTACTTTCTGTATCCTCTAGCAGCCTGTCTGTCGTCTGCACACTGGTTTCCTAACTCGTTCCCGGGTTGCTTGCTGAACGCCAAAACGCCGAGAACACCTTGTAGAGGTTTGCGTCGAGCAGGATAATCGAGGTCCCTAATATGTTTAACGAATTATATTAACGATGACCATTTAAGAGCAAGCTTGCAAACCAGTGTAATACGACGAACATCTCATATTGGACCTAAAAAATGCATTGCAGCCGTGTCTGCCATTTCTTTGTTATTTCACTACATCTGAGTTGAGCTCTAAGAAAAGTAGATATCTTTTTTTCTCGAAACGACGTTCGCGAGCCCAGTTTCAGGTATGTACATAGAAAAATTGAATTTTTCGAGGCCTGCCAAATGTATTATCCTTACGGTCTCGACCTGTACATCATAGTTGTTTTTTTAACCACCTTTCCTGGAGGCCACTTCATAATTTGACCACGTACAGTACGTACAAACACACAGTCTTCCCCCGTACACAAACACGCACGCACACAAAAATACTCCGGCTGAACTACAGCATTTGTTCTTGCCACACACTTCACTCTCCGACTTGGCCATTGTCGCTGTCTCCATGTTTGACTGCAATAAAATACGCAATTTTCTTCTTAAAAAAAATGAGCAGCTACCTTTTACTTTTGAATTCCTATTTTGCACTAAACGCATTATACGGAATTGGTGTGTCATGTGACATCCATTATCCCGGAAAATTTAGCAGGGAAACTGAATGGTTCTATAGGTCACTTCACATCAGACCTTGTGACGTGGAGTTTCCTCGCTAAGTTTAGCGGGGAAGCTCGACGGGCTCAACTTGTGCTCCCAAATGGGCAAGAAGCTCGTCACCTGAACTTTTTTTCGAATGCACCTTTGCGTTTCCAAACGAGTTCTTCCGAACGTGCTCGATTGAGAAGGTGTTTTCTCATTGAAGTGTAGGCATCGTTCGACATAAATATAGCAAAGTTTCAACCTTGCGTAAAGAGTGGAAGTAAGTACCCAGGTATTAATTTCCAGCCCGATTAAAAATGGCACGTCCACATGAACATCACTCTTGCATCTGCTAACCGTTCACTTGAACTCATCAGGCGCAAAGTAAAACAAGGCCCCTGCTTATTTACGAAAACTTGTCTACAATACATTAGTCCATCCCAAACGAAACTAAAAAAATGCTTCTGCCATATCTGATCCAGACCTGGATTACATCATGGATAATATTGACTCCCTGAAAAACGGTGCTGTTCATTTCCTTTTTTCAGATTTTTCATCCCAGTGTAAGAAAAAAAAAGAAGATCGTTCCCAGTTGCAATGCATATCGGTGGAAGCGTGCTCGTCTAATACAGTTTAACAAGGTTCATCATAAACTGCTGCACGGTGATTTTCGCAGCCTCGTTTCCACATCCGGATCACTTATCACAACGTATCACACGCAACTCATCACTTTATTCACAATCATTATAATCGATGTAAAATTCATTCTACATTGATTGGAATAATCTGCTAGCACTCAACCACCGAAAATAATGTAACAAAATTTTGTGAACAAATGTGCAATTTGTCTCGTGTCTGTTTTGATGTATTTTACTTATCTCTATCTTCTTCATTGTTTTAGCCTGTTTTTGTATATTATGCATTGTTGTCTTGTTTACATTTTTGTTACTCATGAAAACTAGGTTGTAGATACATTGGTGTGGTAAATTTATTCATTTTATATGTCTATATTCAAGTCACATCACATCAACCTCTATATATCTAACAGGAACCAGCTCAAAGAAGACTCTAAGCACCTTCTCTGGTACAAAACTTAGTCATCTTCAATGGCATCTGCTTTTAAGTAAGTCTGGGCAACAATGGAACCTCTGATTTCAAATTTCTGTGTGAATCAATGCAACGGACGTATCTCGAAGGTTATCTCCCTCCATGAAGTGAAGCCCCACACCTGAAAAATAAATTTGCCTACATATAAGTACCAACATGTAGTGAGTACTTTTTTTTTTTTGGTTCTTACGTGTCACTCCAAGCACACATGCCCCGATAAATACATTCGTGCAAGAACACGCGTGTCAACATTATTTTACGTTTACGTCTTTATACACGAAGAGATGTGACTAGTGAAGAAAGGTAAAAAGCGCAGGCAATCTGGTGAATGATATTCATAGTAACTCTGAGACTTCGTTGGTCTGTTATTATAGACTTCATTGTTGTGTCCGTTCTTTTATTGTTCCTAGGTATCAGGGTTACTGTAGATGTGACTACTTCTACATGCATGCTTTCTTTTCTAATGCTTTACCGCGTAAACAGGAAAATTTGCGGTTGCCCAGTCGTAGTAATAGAATAAATAGTTTAATGAAGGAGCCGTTAATCTCGCCTTTGGCAAAGCGCTGAACGCCATGCCCTCCCACACGAGGAATTACACGGGCCATATGGGCTCCGCATGAACCGGCTGTCTAAGTTCCGGTTCCGACTACTGTCTGACGTGGCAGGCACACTGCTGAAGAGAACAAAGGGTAACCAGTCCACAAAACGCGGTGTGAAAAGCAAGCGACCAGTCGTCATCTCGTATTTACACAGTTTCACATAATTATAAAAAATGTGGAAAACTATGGCTACGGATTTCCAGTGGTATTTTCAATCCTCCCAAAAAACGAGTCAGATTTGTCCCAGAGCTAACGCGAAGGCAGAAGGAATCATAACGAACAGGTGTAGTAAGAAGCAGACCATGCCGTTTGTGCGGCGTGCCACGGGCGTTCTGTACAGCATTACCCTCTCGTCCGGCCGCACCCATGTTGGGAAAACGGGACGTTGCCTGATTGATGGGCTCCGTGAGAAAGGGTACCCTCTCAGAGGCACAGTGGGAGGACAACTTTCAGTTCACTGTGAAGAGTGCCTGTGCGAACCGTGTTTTCATGCCACCGTAATTCGGGGAAGGCACACGAAAAAAGTGACAGGTTAGGTGCTTGAGGCATTTTACATCTACTGTGGTGGAAGGAAGTGCATTAGTGCAGCGTCAGAGGCGTTGTCAAGGAAGGATCTGGAATTCCTGAAACTGACGACGTGGGTTCAGCGCGTGCCACAATGAGTATATAATGTAGGAAGAATGTGCGCGTCTGAATGGGTGGAGCAATGTGTGCTTTCTTTTCCCCTTGTTCATCAGTAACAACGTATAGTCACGAGCCAGCGGTCAGTCCTTTTGCACCTGCTTGCGCTGTTTTATTTCAATATGCTGAAATACTAAAGTATTTCTCGCAAGCACTCCGTTCGCCTTCGTGGACTAAAGTATACACATGGTCCCTGTCTTTGGAGGACTAACGGCTGCTTTTTCTCGCTCACACCTCACGGTTAGTCCCGGTCGAGTGCAGTTAGTCCTCAGCTCTTGCGCGCGGTACCTATAGCTCGGACCGAATGGTTTCTTTGGGGAGCGAATGGGAATTTAGAAGAACAAATGCTGCCATTAGTCCTTTGAGACACCTTTTTTAGAAGTTGTGTTAAAAACTATGTGAAAGAGGAAGTATATCATGTATTAATTCATCATTTTAGCAAAAAAAAAAAAAAATTAGCACGCGCCACCTTCCGTCTTGCTCTTTTCCGCCTTCTCACAGTGGTGCTCCACTCACCTACTCGAACCTTCTTCCTAATAGGTACGGCCTATAGCTAGCCGCTGTGAACCCCTTGGTGTAGAATTAAGTTTGTCGCATCACAAACACATAGCAGTTGTTGAGGGGTTTATCTGTTCCCCTAAAATGTTTATGCGACAAGGTTGGATGGATGCTCGAAGCAGTTTCCTCTTCGCACGATGGACCTTAATCTGTGAACCTCTGCAATGTTACCCTACATGCCCTTTCGGTAGCCTGCTGTAAGTCTTCTCCCTAAGTAACTTGACGTGGCGAGTCTGCAAGTAGATCCGGCTGCAGCCACATGATTGTAAATGTGCACTCTTAGGATTTTTTTATTTTGTTTTATATTTTTAGACGGCATAACACAACGGATGGAATTGTTTGTGACTAAATTGAATGGACCTTCCGAGGGCCATTTTATGCTAGTGATACACTAAGGTAAAATCGGATTGATCTCACAGTTGATGTCTCTCATTTTCGTCTACGACCAGTATCCAAAATCAAGAGCTTCCACACGCTGGCAGCGCCGTATCCAGTTCTCGATAAACGCTCCTACATATTTTGCACAGGAAAACTTAAAAAATACATTTTCTGCCTTTTATTTTCG